TGTCAACAAGATGGTGGAGTAGGAAGCTCTCAACTTTCCTTACCCCTGTAAACACACTGATTCGGCAACAATATATGGACAAATTTGTTTGTGAGAAATCTAGAAACTAATCAAAAGGTTCTTGCACCTCTGGGGAATGTGAACTCAAACTCATCAAAGCCAGGAGAGTGATTGGGGACACACACTCACCAGAATCTCTATAGCCTGGCACAGAGTCATGTGATCAGGAAGAGATGCCCTAGCTCCCAGCTTTGCTCAGGGGAGAGAAGAGGTTGGTTTTACATACAGTATCCCAACATTTTCAAAAGGGCTCCCCAGACAACTAGCTTCCATCTTGCCTGTCCTGGAGCTCCGAAAGATCTGGAAAAGTCTAGCTATCTGAGAGAGAATATAGATGGTGGCTTGAGCTAAGAGACTCTGTAGTTTTTCCCCTTCCTCAGCACAGAAGTGGTTGGAAAATCCCAGTTCTCAGCTACCTCTTAGAGGGAGAAAGATTTGATCTGTGCATCCTGTGCTCCAACTTTTCTGGCTGGGCCCAAAGAACGAGCATCTGCTTTAGCAATCTTGGAGCTCTGGCAGGTCTGCCACAGTCTAGCCACCTGGGACTACTACTAGGGAGGCTGAGGCAGGAGGATCACTTGAGCCCAAGAGTTTGAGGTTGCAGTGAGCTATGATAATGCCACTGCGCTCTATCCTGGGTGACAGAGTGAGACCCTGTCACAAAATTAAAAAAAAAAAAAAAAAGATTTGTATACTAAAAACTAAAAACATTGTTGAAATAATAGAAGACACAAATGGAAAAAATCCCATGTTCATGGACTGGAAGAATTAATATTTTTAAAATGTTAATATTACCCAAAGTAATCTACAGATTCAGTGAAATCCCTGTCAGAAACCCAATGACATTTTTTAATGAAATAGAAAAAACATTCCTATAATTCATGTGGAACCACAAAAGACCATGAATAGCCAAATCAATCTTGAGAATGAAGAGTGATGCTGGAGGCATCATACTTCCTGATTTCAAAATATGTTACAAAGCTATAGTAGTCAAAATAGTATGGTACTGGCATAAAGATAGATGTATAGACCAATGGAACAAAATAGCCCATGTATAAATCCACACATATATGGTCAATTACTCTTCTTCGATTGTGGTGTCAAATACACACAATAGAGAAAGGATAGTCTTTTCAACAAACAATGCTGGGAACACTGGATATTCACATGTAAAAGAAAAAATGAAATTGGACCCTTGTATTACAACATACACAAAAATCAACTGAAAAGGATTTGAAGGTTTAAATGTAGGAACTGAAACTATAAACTTCTAAAAGAAAATGTAGGAGGAAACTTTATGACATTGGTCTTGGCAATGATTTCATGGATATGACATCAGAAGCACAGGCAACATAAGCAAAAATAAACAGTGGAGCTGCATCAAACTCAAAAGCTTCTGTACAGCAAAGGGAACAATCGACAGAGTGAAAAGACAACCTACAGAATGTTAGAAAATATTTGCAAACCATACATTAGATAAGGAGTCAATCTCCAAAATATAAATAAGAAACTCCTTCAACACACTAGGTAAAAACTATTAATCTGATTTTTAAAAGGGAGTAAGGAATTGAATAGATATTTCTCCACAGAAGATATAGAAATGGCCAACAAGCATATGAAAAAAATCACTAATCATCAGGAAAATGCAAATTGAGACCACAGTGAGATATCATCTTACATCTCAGTTGGCTATTTTCAAAAAAACAAAACACAAGTGTTGTAGAGGATATGGTGAAATTAGAACCGTTGCACACTACTGGTAGGAATGTAAAATGGTGCAGCTGCTATAGTAATCAGTGTGGAGGTTTCTCAAAAAATAAATAGAACTACCATATGATCCAGCAATCCAATTTGTGCATATTTATCCAAAAGATAAATCAAGAAATCAAGGTATCAAAGACATATTAGCACTCACCTATTCATTGCAGCACTATTCATAGTAACCAAGATGTGGAAAAAAACTAAATGTTCATGAACAGATGGATGGATAAAGAAAGTACCGTGCATACATACAATGAAATTCTATTTGTTCTTAAAAAGGAAATTCTGCAATATGGACAACATTAATGATCCTGGAGGACATTATGCTAAGTGAAATAAGCTAGTCACAGAAAGACAGATACTTTCTGATATCACTTATATGAAATATCTAAAATTGTCAAATTTGCAGCATTAAAGAGTGAAATGGTAGTTGCTAGTGGCTGAAGGGAGGGGGAAATGGGGAGTTCCTAATTACTAATGGGGCATAAAGTATCAGTTAAGCAAGATGAATAAGCTCTAAAGATCTGCTCTACAACATTTTACCCATAGTCAACAATAATGTATTGTACACTTAAAATTTTGTTAAGAGGGTACATCTCATGTTAAGTGCTTTTATCACAATAAAATAAAATTTAAAGAAAAAACGACACTTAAAAAGGATATACTACTCTTTACTTAAATTTTTTATTGTTTTTACTTTCTATCATGTAGTGTTTTATTAAATAAGAAAAAGCAGAATTCAGTGATAATAATCTAATTATTACTACTAATGTAAACCAGTATATCTGCTTTCATGGTCATTAGCCATCTCTAAGCTGAGAAAAACAGGAAAGACTTTCACGTATAGATATTCTCAACTTACTGTATAGTTTTTATAGTACAAAATATCTTCTCTCAGAACAGAGCTCCTTATGCTGCAAAAAGTTGATAATAGAGACATTATACAAATGCAGATATAAATAATTGTAATAATATAGATATTACGTATGCTAAATAAAATAAGATGTGTAAACTGGAACATAGTATTGCACAAAAAGTTATTTTCTACCTGTGATGCCCCTTTAGCCAGTGTCCAGGGCTTTGGACTAGACACACTGTTTTATTCATTTGTATATGGTTCTTACACTGTTCACTATTAGCCAATAGCACCTACTGGATAACAAATATTAATATATAGACTTTTAATGGTGACTATAATATGTGACACTCAAGTACTTTGCAGACAACATACTTTAATATCTGCTGCTACATTTTTTCCTTTATATCTCTATATGACTTTTTTGCTTGAAACTGTTGATACTGGAGACTGGTTCTATAGGTGATAATAAACCTAACTCAACAGGCTCTATCCCTATATTCTTTTTAATATATTAATAGCTTAATAATTTCCCTTAGAAAGTAGTTTATTATTATGATACCTAATATTATGAAAATGTGCATTGATTGGTGAGTTAGTGATTTTAGTAGATATTTTATTGCTTTATCTTACAAGTTTTTACATCAATCTCTCGGTCAAAGTCATGCAATAATGCAATGTGCTCTGTATCCTATAATATTTGGTGGAAAAGACTTGTCCTCTTTTATAACTGTTGATTAAGAGAAAGACAAGGTCTCTTAAATTTCTTATTGAAGTTGGTAAAGATGGAGGCATCTCTGTAATCTCACATTGTATCTACCAGGATTGAGCACACTCTTCAAAATTTTGTGGCATTGCAATGCTTTCCTTACTGATTTTAGGTATGCCCTGGTCATATCTGGTCATAAACAGAGCAGGGAAAAGAACATGTCACCAACCATTGGGGAAACCTTTATTGGTACTTTTTACAGGGGATCTAGGGCCAAGATGGAAGACAAGAGAAAGATACGATGCTCTTTGACAGTTTATTCTATGTCTGTGTTTCTTTTGTTTCTTTAAAAACAAATCAAATGAACAAAATTCTTGTTTTCTAATACCACAAAGAAAAATGGCTTGAGTTAGCAAAGTTAAAGTAACTTTTCCCCAAATACTTTAATTATTTGTAGGAAAACATGCAATACTATAGTTTTAGCCTTTCCGGGGAACTATGAATTTTGTATGATATGTCTTAACAATTCTACACATTTGGTATGTCATAATACCCTTCTTAGCCACTTAACAAAATGAGACTTTGATGATCTGACCAGTAGTTTCTGAGATACTTCCTCCTGTTTGCCAAATGTTCCTTTAACCATAGAAGTGTTTTAATCATGAAGGTCCAAAATCTTTCAAAGGCATTGTTTCTTTTTGTTATCCATAGAAATCTGTTTGTAATTATTAACCCCATTCAAATTATAAATGAAAAATTTAATAATAGACTAATAAAAATTTTAAAAGGCAGAATTACATTTTTAAACTTTTTCATAGTATTGGGACATTCTTTCAGAGATACATTTTAAAAAGTCAGTAAATGTGGAGTATACACTGAGATTTAAAGGAATAATATTTAGTAAAAATATTGCTACTGCAAAATAGACATGAAAATTTACAATTGATGAATAGCCAAGCCTAATAAATTGACTTATAGTTTCTCGCTGTAACAGTAGTAACACTGCATTTTGGAGTCAAAGTCAAATATTAGTGTATTTTAATAGTCATTTTTATAAACATGGGGAAAACAACTTTTTGCCTTCTCATAATTTGCTGCTTATGTTTTATTATCTGTTTATCATATATATTTATGATCTTCTAGGTTTCAAAATTTGGAAAATAGTTTCAGAAAATTTTTATACTTTTACAAAAAGTTGCCAAAGAATTTAGGAGAAAATGTTTCTGTTTTATCCAAACCAGTGTTTTGTTGTTAATCTTGGATCTACCAATTATGATAACAAAATCTTTGGAGAATAAGTATATTAATGTTGATGAAAATAAAAATTGCCTTCTTTTTATTGGTATATAAAGCCTTTATTTTACTGTTTTTATTTAAATAAAGTTTCAACAATATAAACAAAAATTATATTAAAAACAACCTTTGAATGAAGACATTATTTATTCAGTCAATGATATTTTTGAATATTATTACTATATAGTATTATTCTCTTTTAGGTAAAATCTAATTAACAAAATTATCTTTTTAAAAACTGTAGTAAAGCAATATCCATCTTTATTTTCAATACTATGAAGCTTTTAATTAACAGAAAACCAACATGGGTTGCTTCTTTAGAATACCACTAAATGTTAGAGACATCGTCTACTGTACAGGAGTGTCACTACTGGATGAGGATGTCTGGGAATTTATATGGATGAAATTCCACTCTACCACAGCAATTTCTGAGAAGAAAATATTATTGGAGGCCTTAACTTGCAGTGATGACAGAAATTTATTAAATAGGTAGGCCAATTCATTTTCTAAATTTATTTGTGTAATGAAAGTATTCCCTGTTAATCAAACTGCTCTGAAGTTGCTTTTATTTTCTCGATTTTGTGTTAGTTACCCTAAAATATATCTTTCTAAAGATGATGAAGACTGCCATGCTAGCATGACTAAAGCTACTTGAGAGATTATATCTTTTTAATGATAAATTATTTTATGTAATTTATATACATGTGTAAGAAAATATTTCATTATAAGAGGAAGTTTTTTCTATAAAGAATTTGCATCATTGGATCAGACTTATGATTTCTCCATCCATAAGACTTTTAGAGTTGAATTAATCTATTTAATTAAAATACTATGAGTTTGATCCTCTTTCTTTTATAAACAGAAATTTGTTCTATTGATAGATTTATATTAGTAAAGTTTGCACTGGACTACTCCTTTGAAGAATATGACAAACTAGACCATCTAATTTTAATAATATTATAAAAATGTTTAAGTCAGTAGACTAAACATTTCTCCGCAATTCTATTCTTATAGGCTTCTAAATCTGTCACTGAATTCTGAGGTGGTTCTGGATCAAGATGCAATTGATGTCATAATCCATGTAGCTCGAAATCCACATGGCCGAGACCTTGCCTGGAAGTTTTTCAGAGATAAATGGAAGATATTAAATACCAGGTAGAAATAATAATTCAATCATTCATACTTCAGTGAGTAAATTAAAACTGGCATATGAGAAATAAAGGGCCAACTTTTGTGTTACACCTAAGATATGTATAATACGATTAGATTTTAAAATATTCAACTAAGATGGGCTAGCCACTCCTGTGAAACTCAGAATTATTTTAATGATTCTATAACATTATTCATGCATTAAAGACTGATTTCCTTAATTAATTGTTTGTGGAAACAGGGAAAATGCAAAAGGTTTAGCCAGCAACTTTTCTGGAGAATGTATCAAACTGTCCAAAGTTGAAGAAATCATATCATTAAACTCTCTATATCTTGAACATGTTATAGAAAAAATAATTTATAAATCAGATATAAAGGTATTATAACAAGAAAACTTTAATTTCTTCTGTAGAATTGTTTTAAATTTTCTTTAAATATGAATATCATAAAACACCTGAAATAAAACCATAATGTAGAGAAGGAACATTAATCATTTGAATCAATGCATGATTCCAGTTGCAGTAAAATTTATTCCCAGGACATCTTGTTTCATGGTGAGAATTTTTTAACCTCAATTTTAGAAAATATTTCATTATGTATTTAAATGTATTATAATACATGCTAATTTATTACTGTGATAATCTCTAAGGTCTTTTAAAATTAAATTTATTATAGAGCATGTAGATGCTTCATGTTTTTCTCTACCTTAAATGTTCCCAGACAGTAAGCAGACCTACTGTTCTTTCTCTTAAAAGCTGATATATAAAGCACACCTTTATCAGTTTCCCTGGTATAATGAGTTTAATTGGAATGGATTGTCATATGAAAACACATTTCTATCCACAGATATTTCATTGTCAAAAAGCACTGATATTCCTGTGAGACATATTGACTTTTTTTGTATCTTCAGTTCAGATATTGGAATATTAGAGCTTGCTTCGTTGTTATGGATCTAGTAGAGTAAATAGTCAGACACTTAAGGTAAAATTAATGTATACAAGCATTTCACTTAAAAATATCAAATATCTAGCAATACACAGTTTCTTTAGGGAGTGGTGTAGTTCAGAGTTCAATGTAATGCATATATAGGCATATATCATTTATTGCCTACCAAAAAATGTTTTGTTCTTGGTATGCCTATTTTGTCTCGCTGAGAGTTTGTGATCTCCACCCAAAAGGTGGAAAGGTTAAGGTTTCAGCCTATCTACATATGTGATAGTGTTTATCTTGAGAAATAGGAGCATCTTCATCTGCTCCTACTCCTCTGTCGATCCTTGAACATTGGAGTTCATGGGGGCTCTGTCCAAGGTACTCTTTTCTTCTCACTCTGCAGCTTCTTCCTGATTTTAGCTGGTGTCTACTCTCATGGTTTCAATCAGTCCCAAATCTATGTCTCTAACTCAAACATCTCACCTAAGCTTCACCCCGTGATGAACAATTGCCCATGGAGCTCCTCTTTTGGAGTGTGCCTGCAAAGCTAAATCCATGATTTTCCCCTTGTCTTCTTTCTCAGTAAATCTTACAGCCATCTGACCTATCACTCAAACCAAACACCTGGAAGTCTACTCCTTTTCCCTGGCTATATATAATAGTTAGGCTTGAGGTCTTATCAATTTAATAATTCCTAAATATTTCTTGAATTCTTCCTTACTTTTCTTACTATCCCTTCTCTACTGCAGGTTCTCAACTCTTGCTAGTACCTTACAATAGCCGTTGTCTTTCTGCCTCTGTAATTATATTCACCTCTTTGTCTCTCTGCCTCTGTAATTATACTCACCCACTACACACATACACATTAGCCTCTTTCCTTTGTTCCAAGAATCTTTCTGAAAAGCAAAAGTGTTTTCCCTGCTGTAAAACTTTTAATGGTTCTGTGCCACACTTACAATCTAAGCTACTTAATATGTTCTCTGCATAACTCCTCAGCCTCTTGTTCTTCTATCTCCTGCCTCACAAATTATGCCCTCTTAATACCAAACTTCTTTTAGTTATCTGCACACACCATGTCATTTCACACCTCTTAGCTTTTGTTTATGTTGGTCCTCTGCCTAAAATTACTTTCTTCCCTGCTGCTCAGAACTATTTCATACTCAATCTGGATGCCATCATCTCCTGGAAGCCATTCTCAAGAGCCCACAGCTAAAGAGACCTTCTGTGAGCACTGTGTGTAATTTTATCATCACTGCATTTAGCCACATCAAATGAAAATTATCTGTTTATGTGTCTAGCTCTTCAACTGGACAGCAGAATATCTTTAAGGAAGGGATTGTGCCTTATTCATCTTCATGTGACAGTATAAGCAGAAACAATTGACACTCTCTTAGAAAAAGAATTTTTTTTCCTAGATAATAGGCCACTTTTGTAACCATATACTGATTACTGATGATCATTTATATTGTTACTGAATGTTTATTTGTTTGTTAAGTAACAAAGTAGTAACTAAGTAGTTAACTTTTTTCCCATGAAATAATTAAATGTTAGAATTATAACAAATCACAGTGGTTATCCAGTTCAGTCCCCTCATTTTATGGATGAGAAAACTCAATTCTCCAGAAGCTAAGTTACTAAAAATCCCATGTTAGGGAAGTATTAGAAAACCTCTTATAACAGTGGCTGGACCTTTGCTTCTAAAAACCCAGAGTCTTATTTTTAGTGTTCTTACCTTAGTTCTAAGAGAATGATAGCCTGTGATAGGTATCTTTAGCATATTGGGGAAAAGTCAGTAAAATGAGAATTCTTTCCAACTTACTGACACAAATAGTTCCTTGCCTGTATCAAAGTCAAGTAATTGTGTCTGTGGTATAAGGATTATACAATTCAAATGAATGACTAGATATTTTATTTTAATATCCACATGAACAAAAAGCTAATATTTGGGGGAGCATTTTTGAGAAATTTGGCTCAGTTTCTAAGAATGAAATAGTAAAATGCAAATGTCAATTATGACTGAGTGGCCCAAAAGTTCTGTGTGACATAGTGATGATGCCCAAGTTGGTCTTGCAGTCCTTTCTTTTGTTGGGATCCTTTTCCAAGTTAGGTTTCCTTTATAGTTGAAAATTTTAAAATATTTCTTTCTCAGGCTTTGGCTTAGAAATATGCTAGTAGTCCCTAAATCTGATTAGAGGGCCTCCTTTTTAAAAATAATTACCACAGCTTAGACTTCTCTGAAATGCTGAGAACCAAGTCAAGTGGGATCTGATGGTATCCCATAGCCACACCTCTTTTCACCTCCTTAATTCCCCAGAGAAACCACCTTGAATGCTCAGAGATCTGGAGATCTCTGACAACATTGGTCAATGGAACGCTTGAGAATATGGTATGGTATGTATGGTAATATCTTTTAAATTACTTTTAAATTACTACCTGTATTGACAGTAAGACTTTTTTTATCTTTTAAGGTATGGAGAAGCATTATTTATGAATTCCAAACTTATCAGTGGAGTCACAGAATTTCTTAATACTGAAGGTGAACTCAAAGAGGTAAGTATTTTAAACTGAGTTCTAATTCTTTTCTTTTATAAACTTATGAAATTATTCATTTACTTCAACCATTTCTTTCCAGCAGATTCATATTCATTCCTTTTATACACATACACATCTATACACACACACACACACCACATCCCCATATTAAAGATGACTGAATTCATTATTTGCAAAGATATTTCTAACATATTAAACATTAAGTGCCTGCAAAAAGTGTTTGAATGCAATGATTTTCAAACCTGGAGATCCAAAATTCACTTCAGAAATCATTGAGCCACTCAGCTGCTCTTCAAATGACTCTATGAATCTAATTTAGTCCCATCAGTGACTCAGTATTTGTACAAAGGATCGAGGTTGATGTTGATGTATAGACGATTGATTAGTGTTACTGCTTTGTGGTGAGTCCTAAATAGATAACGGATAACTGGACATAATAATAATGCTTCCTACTATCTAGCTTGTTAAATGAAACAAATTCTTATGCAAAAAAAGGAAATATATCTAGCAATACATATTGACATTAATAGTTTGTCTTAAAACTCTGCTTGGTACAATCACAAATGAATTTCATTAATGAAAATAAACTTGATTTTTTAAGGAGTAGTGTTCAGGTTGCAGAGTATATAACATTTCCTTTTTATGTTCTTTCTGGTTTATTTCTCTGGAAATTTAAACCACCTAGGTTTGGGGGTTTTATGTTTGTTTGTTTGTTTTATCATTAACTCACATCACTAATATACAAGAGATGGGAAATAGGGAGGGATAAGTAGGCAGGAAAGAGGAGCGAAATATAGATTCTTTTAACTGATCACAATGAGTTGGGCTTCAAATATCCTATTGCCTTTTCCTCTGCTGCTCTTTTCCATTATGAAATATAGCTGATATTTGGATTGTGAATCATGGCTTCCTCAGTTTTCCCTGGCAGAGTACCTTATGCTGTGACCCAGAGCTAATCCCAGCATGCAGCATTCCCCGAGCAGCATCCACCCTGGCACCATCCTTAATGTCGTCTAATATTGCTCTGTTTCCTATGATCATCCCCCATGCACTAAGTTGGATTCTTTCACACCATAAGCTAAGCTAAGCTAAGTCTCTGATTGTAATGATTTGAAATTCAGCTTTTATTCCTGCTGTGTGTGTTCCCAACCCTGAAGGATTTAGTTTTGAAAGCCCCAGAATACTTTTTACTATATTTTATTAATAAAGGAAGCTAAATGGACTTTTTTCATATCCATAGGAAACAGAAAGTAAGAGCAATTAAATTGATGATTCCTTCCAATTTGCTCTGTATTTAAATGATGTACTTTTAATTTCATGATGTTACATTCAACAATCTGAGAATGAAAGATTTACTTAGTCACAACCAGTGCAGCCATTGAAGTGAACACAAAAGTGAAAGATCCCTCTCCTTTGCCCTCTCCTCCTCCCTCCTTTTTGCGCCCTTCATGCTCCCTCCCCTTTTTCTCTTCTCTTCCTCTCTTTTTTCCCCTCTCCTCCCTACCTCTCTCCTATCCCCTATCCCTTCTTCCTTCTTCCCTTTTTCCTCTAACTCTGTCTGCCTTTCATATTGTCCTTGACTTGGTAATACCCAGGCCATATGAAAAAAAAATCTTTCAAATGGACATTTAATTGATTTGATCACATACTGACCATTTTGTCTTACACATTTCACTTATGTATTTAATTTTTTACACTTTAATTGCCATTTTAGATGTTTCAACGTCTGCCCATCATGAAAGGTGCAATTCCAAAACTGAAACTAAACTGTGGCTTTTATTTCATTATCTGCAAAGCAGCTACCTTCACAATACAAACTCTCCGTGGAATGAGTGACGAATCCCTTCACTAAGGAGTTCCTTGCTCTGACTTTATAGTTTAACAGCTTCTGCCTGAGGGTTTTTAATACTTTCATCATCTAATCATCGTCTATAGGATTGGGGAACACCGTTGTCGGGTGGGGTGGGGCTTTGGTTTGTATTGATGATAACTGCCCTTTCTTAAAAGGAAAGAGCTGAGGAATATTCAGTCTCCTTCTCCCATAACTCATGAGCTCCATAAGCAGAAAATCCAATGTGCTCCCTTTAGATAGGCCAATTCTCATTTCCAAGGGTTTATAGATCTAAAGGGAATCAGCATCTTCATGAATTCTGAAAACTCATTTGAGATTTTAATGATCTACAACAGCTTTAGGTACATTCAACAGAGAAACTTATACTGTTTCCTGGTCCCTTCCCCAAGACTGCATTCTGGTACCTGAAACTAGAGTTTCCTTTTAATTACATGGCTCTAGCAATTTGAACACTATTTCTCCACAAGGCAATCTATCATTTCCTTAATTTTAAACTAATGGAGATACAATCTCGTGGAACTTCAGAGGGTCATTATCATTTTTCCACACTAATGCCCATTAACCAATCCTTTTACACACCCATTTTTCTGCCTTTTATGCCTAATTTATAGCACTGTTGTAGAGGAACATAGATCCTGTGCATCCCAGACATCCCATTTACAGTTTTAAAATAGAAGATATAAACCTCATAATAGGGCAATAGCTAATTCTATTCATTTATATACTTACTAAGAGTATATTATGTTTTGCAATTTACTCTAAAAAGTTCACTTTACGATGTTGGGTTCTAGGGTACCCTGAAATAAGAAGTTTTTAAAAATGCTAAAATCTTTTTAAATAGAGAAATTAATAGACATGCCTAGAAGTTTTATGCTAAGAAGTTCAGAGAGCACAAAGGACACTGCCATCTTACTAAATGTTATTTTGTAAAGTGTCTAACTTGCAACATGTAAAAATAAAAGCATAACGTAGGATGAATATTTAGGAGACACAATAAAAAATAATTAATGGCAGCAGAAAACCCACCAAAGAGCTGAAGAAATAAGCAAACTGGAATGCTAAATGCCTTCCATCTACTGTGAGCCCTCTCCAGTGCAGCAGGGGTCTATAGGGTGCTGTGAGCACGCTCTAGGACTAGCAAGACGGCTGCTCTGACCGCATGTTTGCCATTAGAGCTCTGGAGGAATATGGGGCATAAGATCAATTTATGGCAACTGTGGAAAGTGAGCCAGATGTGTTCTGATGAATAAGGTCCTCTTAAGATGCAGATGAGTTACCCCAGGCTCTCTGAGCTCACGAGGGAAGTATTCAGTGCACTTAAATAGTGATTTAAGAAATGAATCTCTAGAGATCCACCAGTTACATTTTCTATTGAGAATTCTCTTGCAGGATAATCTGACCTACTATCCTTGTGTCAATAACACATTCGTATTTCAACTCATAGTTTGCCTTGAAGGAGGACTTAAGAGTTTTACTCCATGTGTTCAGGCCGGCTTGCCTTCTATCTCATAAAGAGGCCAAGAACATGTTCCTCAGAGTTAAAGTTGCCAAAGGGTCATTTATCACTATGTGGTGTATTCAGTGACTACCTAGGAAAGAATGTGATAAAGCAGAACGTATTTTAAACGTATTTTAAAAGGAGCAGATGTAATTTATTTTTCCTAACTGACATAATACGTCAATAATGCCATTGTAATGTTATACTTTTGTAATAAATTAAACAAAAAATTCAAAATAGATAAAATGCATTATTTGTTGCTTTAAGCATATAGACTGAATGAGTCCAAACATAAGTATATAAATATAAATGTATTAGTGTGTTAATCAAAGTTTAAAATTATGATTTTTATATATATGTGTGTGTGCGTGTATATATATATATATATATATATGTAGCATGGTTCCTGGAATAATGAAGATAATAAATACCAATATTTTCCCTTCCTCCTGTTTCCTTAATATGTGTAAATTTGATCAAATGTCAAAGCAGTTTTAAGGACAGCACAGATAATTCTTTGTTATACATTGGCTATGTCACATATTAGTTATGAAAGCATAGTGATTTTGAGATCTTCTAAAGGATATATAATAGCTCTGAGATATGGTTATTCACTGTTAATGCTCCTGGGCAAAGGGCTTTTTAGGAGAGTAGAGGATAAACTTTGAGAAAACCCATCAGTATCATGCAATCAAAGTAATACTATCATAAGCAAACCAAGCTATCCACGGAATGATTTCTAAATTAATTCAGAAAGGTATAATTAACTACATTTGGAACACCCCCTACCACCACCACCGTTTCTCCCTGCCCTGAGCCAATCTTGATGCACTACTTTGCCCTCCTGCCATATCCTCCATGTGGCGCCACCGCATGATGAATCACACCCCACACTAATTATGCCACGTAATGTTTCTGTGTTGCAAGTTGATTTTTCACATTTGTTTATTAGCATCACAATTGTTGATCTGTTGCCAGTTTCTTAAGACATGTTGAACAGAAAAGAAAAACTGCTAGTATTTACTCTTGAAGTAAAATCACTGAGTATTCCCAGAGTGTGTGAAGTCTCTGAATAAAATCTTATATTAATAAAAACTATGACAAAACATTTAAAAATATAACTTAAATACTCAAATTCTCTAGCTAAATGAGATCATATTCTTCCTTTATTCTTTCTAAATCTAGTTACTCAAGTGATTGCAATGTCATTAATCATTCAGTTTTCAGAGCACCATTTTTTTCCCACCACCCAATAACTTTGATAATCCCTTGACATTAAAGATAGTGTCAAGCCCTATACCACTTATTTGGAGAAGATGAGAAATAATTTTCTCTCTACGAACAGAAAGTGAATATTTAGTTTTTAAGGTTACTTCATACATTGTATATGCCTTGCAATTGTAACTAGTCTTTGCCACAATCCCATCAACCTATTTTGAAAATATAAATTAAAGATGTCTGTTTTCATGTCTATTCATGAAACATGAAGCTGAATTTGGAGCTATTTAAATTGTAATGTCCATTCTTTTTTCCTTTCTGTTCCAAATCAATTACATCACATCTAATTGACACAATCTGTTATATTTCATTTCATTACCAAGCTCACTCCACAATATTAAATATACCTTCTGTAGCGATTGTGGCACTTTGTTTAAAATAGATTCTTGTTCATATATGTTGAGCACGAGTTCATTTTAAGACATGTAGATTTACCATTTTAAAATTTTGGTTTTCAGCTAAAGAACTTCATGAAGAGCTACGATGGCGTAGCTGCTGCTTCTTTCACACGAGCTGTGGAAACTGTTGAAGCTAATGTGCGCTGGAAAATGCTTTATCAAGATGAGCTTTTCCAATGGTTAGGAAAGGCTCTGAGACATTAATACATGTCTCTTATAAACAATTCAACTCAGAATTTTGAGAGAAGACCTGCTTTATGTGGAATGAGGAAAATGTTTTACATGGAAAATGGCCAGCTTTTCAGTGTTAACATGTGGGAGGAATTATTTTTTTTAATTTTTTGGTTTTGAGGGATATTTTTTATTTGTTTCATTCATTCTGTTTTGTTTCTCTACTGGGTGTTCTTCTCTAAAGAAAATCTTGCAAATGAAAGTAGCCATGATTGCTTCAGCTGTACATTCATTGCTGTACAGGACCAAATATGATAGTGATGCATGTCGATGTTGCAGTCAGTTTGGAAAAACATATTCAGAATATTCTGTGCATGGATGTATGGTCCTGCCTGTATTCCAGCATGCTTGTTTAAAATGTCCAATGTTGTATGTGAATATATGTTACATCCAGGATGGGCATTACGCAAAAGCACAAAAATTATATATGACAATCAGTGTTACAATGGAAGAAAAACTAAAAAAAGGGAATTGTTCTCAGTCAAGGGCAATGTGAGAGGTAAAGTAGCCCAATAAGTGATTAACAACACTTATTTCAGCACTCGGATTGTCTGGCAATGATTAATGTGGTTGCTAACTCATTTTCTTTGAGTTGAAGTTGTGTATACATTTTAAAAGGCATATCGATAGTGTATGCATATGTATATGTACATAGGGAAGCCCCGTATGTATATAGTATGTTGTACACTGCACATGTGCAAAGAATCTCTTCAGATCAAAGAAAATTTATTTCTTTTTATAAACTTATAAAGACTTGGAAAAAGCTTAGAAGAATTTATCTCAACATTTTCCTTCCTATTGCCTAAGTTTTTCAAGTGTTATGGATTTTCCATCTACTTCTTGAACAATGGTCTATTCTACCACATGAAGATGAATTCAAACAAAACTTATATATAAATTAACCACTCTTCTAATTCTCCTAAGTAGCATCCTTGCATATAGATTCTGTCATCATTTTTGGTGAAACCTCCTATTGCATGAAACAATAGTGTAAACTTATAATTATCAGTGCTGAGGAAGTGTCTATTTTCCCTCTTGTTTTCCCACTTTATTTGGGGTAGTCAAGAGAGTTAAAAATTCTCTATGTGTTGGTCTTTCTGTCTGTGTTGCTCTAATCCTCTATTAAGCAGCCATACCTCAACTGGGTCTATCAGCATTTAATGACCTTTGATGCCAGTTGTACCATCCCTTAAAATGAAAAGTTACTTTTCTTGTGCTAATGTACAAAGCTTTTCTTTTGGCACTGACAACTCTGTTCTACCTGGGAATTTTGAATAACCATTTTCATGGCTGTGTGTTATGTAACACAAATGTATTTAAATGGTATTCTCACCCAGTAGGCCAGCTCTTCAAACATCGCTTAGATGCTTCAAAATTAACATATTTTAAGTTTATGATTATAAATTACCAATACAACTACTATACATAAGCCAAATATTTGTGGAACACTTCCTATCTTTCTGAGGCTTTCCATTCCTCCAAATCTTGCAAATCATTGAAACAAGTATATTCTAACACTAATAGTCATGGAATACTGAAAAATAAATTAAAGATTTTAGAAACTGGAGCCATAGAATTATTTTAAATTTGTAGAAAAGAAGAGCAATTTCCTAATTAACATATTTTAAGTTTATGATTATAAATTACCAATACAACTACTATACATAAGCCAAATATTTGTGGAACACTTCCTATCTTCCTGAGGCTTTCCATTCCTCCAAATCTTGCAAATCATTGAAACAAGTATATTCTAACACTAATAGTCACGGAATACTGAAAAATAAATTAAAGGTTTTAGAAACTGGAGCCATAGAATTATTTTAAATTTGTAGAAAAGAAGAGCAATTTCCTAATCCATAGAATAAGTACCACCAAAAATTGAATTTTATTATTTAAGCAATTAATACCTATTACTCCTACCTGATTTTTCAGCACTGCATTCAGTTCAAATACATTCATTTTAAGTATTCCATGTGGTGTAAAGAAGACATGGTAATGCTTAGTTTAAGATCTAAAAGTTATCCCACCAATCAGAAATGATAAAATCCAACTACACACATCACATTTATGAAATTCTTAATTAAAGGGAAAAGTTCTGAAACATAACAATAATAAATATCACACTCCTGTGCAAGTATAAAACATGCATCATTTTACCACTGAAGTCATGTAACAGAAAAGATA